CTCTCTAGGTTTTTGTGACAGTGCTCTCTCTTGGTTCTCTTCTTACCTGTCTGACCTCTCCTCAGTATCCTCTGCTGGATCTTCATCCAGGTTATACCTACTAACTATGAGTTATCACCTCAAAGTTTTGTCTTGACACCTCTTCTCTTCTTCCTCTGTACTATTTCACTTGGTGATCTCATTAGCTCTCATGAATTCAATTATCATTCCTTTTTTTTCCCCAATTTTTAAACATTTTTATTCAAAGTTTTGAGTCCCAAATTCTATCCCTCCCTCCCCACCCTCCTCCTTCAGATGGTAAGCAATCAGATATAGGTTACACATGTGCAATTATGTAAAACATTTCCATATTAGTCGTTTTGTACAGGATGACTCAAATAAAAGAAAAAAATGAAACAAAAAAGTGAAAAATAGCATGCTTCAGTCTGTATTCAATCAATATCAGTTCTTTCTCTGGAGGTGGATAATATGCTTCATTATTAGTCCTTTAGGATTGTCTTGGATCATTGTATTACTGCGAGTAGCTAAGTCATTCACAGTTCTTCATCGAACAATATTGCTGTTATTCTCCTAGTTTTGTTCACTTCACTGTGTATCAGTTCATGTAAGTCTTTTCAGGTTTTTCTGAAATCGTCCTGCTTGTCGTTTCTTACAGCACAATAATATTCTATTACAATCATATACCACAGCTTGTTTAGCTATTCCCCAATTGATGGGCATCCCTTTGATTTCCAATTCTTAGCCATCACAATAAGAACCGCTGTAAATGTTTTTTGTTCAGATAGGTTTTTTCCCCTTTTTATGTCTTTGGGAAACAGACCTACCAGTGGTATTGCTGGATCAAAGGGTATGCACAGCTTTGTTGCTCTTTGGGTATAGTTCCAAATTGCTCTCCAGAATGGTTGGATCAGTTCACACCTCCACCAACAGTGCATCAGTGTCCCAGTTTTCCCACATCCCCTCCAACATCCAACATTTTCCTTTTTTGTTATATTAGCCACTCTGATACATATGAAGTGGTACCTCAGAGTTGTTTTAATTTGCACTTCTCTGACCAATAGTGATTTAGAGCATTTTTTCATATGACTATAGATCAATTTGATTTCTTTGTCTGAAAACTGCCTGTTCATATCCTTTGACCACTTATCAATTGGGAAATGACTTATATATTTATAAATTTGACTCAATTTTCTATATATTTGAGGCCTTTATCAGAAATACTTGTTTCAAATTCCCCACCCCCCAGTTTTTTTCTTTCCTTATAATTTTGGTTGCATTGGTTTTGTTTGTGCAAAAACTTTTTAGTTCTAGGGCAGCTAGGTGGCACAGTGGATAGAGTACCAGCCCTGAAGTCAGGAGGACCTGAGTTCAAATCTGGCCTCAGACCAAACACTTGATGCTTACTAACTATGTGACCCTGGGCAAGTCATTTAACCCCAATTGCCTTAAAAAAAAACTTTTTAGTTTTATATAATCAAAATTATCTCTTTTACATTTTTTTGTAATGCTCTCTATATCTTCTTTGGTCCTAAATTCTTCTCATATTCATAAATTTGAAAGATAATCTATTCCATGCCCTTTAATTTGCTTATGGTATCACCCTTTATGTGTAAATCATTCTGACCTTGGTATACAGAGTGAAAGGTTGGTCTATACCTGCTTTCTGCTTATTGTTTTCCAGTTTTCCCAGAAGTTTTTGTCAAATAATGAATTTTGGTTCCAAAGCATGGATCTTTAGGTTTATCATATACTAGAATAGTGTGGTCATTTACTATAATGTAATTTGTACCTAATCTATTCCACTGATCCACCATTCTGTTTCTTAACTAGTATCAGATTGTTTTGATAATTACCATTTTATAATACAGTTTGAGGTCTGGTATGGCTAGACCACCTTATTCTGAATTTTTTTCATTGATTCCTTTGATACCTTTGAGCTTTCGTTCTTCCAGATGAATTTTGTTGTTCTTTTTTCTAGCTCTATAAAATAATTTTTGATGGTTTGATTGGTATGGCACTGAATAAGTAGGTTAATTTAGGTAGAATTGTCATTTTTTATTATATTGGCTCGGCCTCCTCATGAGCAGTTAATATTTTTCCAGTTGTTTAGATCTCACTTTATGTTATCATCTCTATGGAGATGATTCTCAGATTAATTTATCCAGCCCTAACCTTCAGAATGGAATCACCAATTGCTTATTGGACAATCTTGAACTGGATGTCCTATGGATATCTCAAACTCAACATGTCCAAAACTAAACTCACTACCCTTCCCCACAAACCCTTGCCTTTTCCAGACTTCTCTATTATTTATCAACGGTTCTAATTATACTGGTTTGAAATCTTGTCGTCATCCTTGACTTCCTCATTGCACTGACTTCACATAACCAAACTGGCAAGTCTTCTCATTTCCCCTTCGCAGCATCTTTCATTCTTTCCATTCCAACAGCAGCCACCCTGGTGAAGTCCCTTTCTGCTTCGTATTTGGACGATTGCAATAGCTTTCTGGTGTTCTTCCTGCCTCAAATCTCTCCCTACTCCAATCCATCCCCACTCAGATATCAAAGTGGTCTTCCTGGCCCTATCGCCCCTTACTCAATAAATTCCAGTGGTTCCCTATTATCTCCAGGATCAAATATAAAGTCCTCTAGCTTTTAAAGCCCCTTTACAACTGGCCCCTTCCTACCTTTCCCATCTTCTTAAACTTTGCTGTCTTCCGTGTGTTCTAAGACGCAGTGACATGAATGCTCCTCACATTGGACACTCTTCCTGCCATGTCTGGAATACTCTCCCTCCTCACTTGCTCTTTCAGGACTCAGCTCAAATCCTACTTTTTGTGAGAAGCTTCCTTCCTCCTTCCTCTTTCCCCTCCCCTTACCTTGTGCCTTCCCTCTGAGAGTAACTCCGATTTATACTATATAGATCTTGCTTGTAGACAAGGAGTTTTGGTTTGGTTTGGTTTGGTTTTGGGTGTGTGCGTGTTACGTCGTCTCTTCCATTAGACTGTGAGCTCTGTGAGGCAGGGAGCATATTTTTGCCTTTCTTTGTACCCTCAGAGTTTAGCACAGCGCCTGGTACCTAACACCTAGCACAAGGTAAACGCTTAATAATAAGTATTTGTTCAGGTGAATTAACACTGAGGCCTCTGAGAGACTTTCCAGAGATCTTTCAGCTAATCAGCTCATTGTCACATACAGGGTTACCCCAGACTACTCTGTAAAAATCCCCAAAGCCTTCACTCTTGCCTCTCCTGAGGCAATTGGTAGTTCGGTGGATAGAATGGAGTTAATAATGGAGTCAGGAAGACCTGAGTTCACATTTGGCCTCGGATACTTATTAGCTCCATGACTTTGGGCAAGTCACTTAGCCTTTATTTGCCTCAATTTCTCCGACTGTAAAATGGGGGTAATGACAGCACCTACCCCACAGAGTTGTTGTGAGAATCAAATGAGGTTATATTTGCGACCAAAAAAAAAGAAGCACTTAGCACAGCACCTGCCACATAGTAGGAGCTATATAAATGCTCATTCCCTCTCTTGTACAGTCATGAAAATCATAGAATTGCTTTTTTGGGGCTTTTTGGTGATTTGAATGAGCTCATTCCATCCTTGTATTTGGAGTGGTTTAGGGAAAAAGAGGACTCAAGGATGTGGTTATTGAGGATGGAAGGAATGGGAAATTTTACTCCACATAGGTGAGTGAACTTCCTGCTAATGATGGGATGAAGCCAAGAGGTCCTTAGAAGGGGTCCTGGCCTGGGCCCCATTATCATCAGCTGCACAATCTCTTGAGGGCTTACACGCACTGTGGTTACTCTTCTCTTTTTCCTCTCCTTCTTCTTCCTCCTCCTTAGGCTTAATTGGGCTCTAACCCTTGACCTTACTGTGCCAGTCCCATGGCTGTCCCCCAGGCTCACAACCTGGGAGTCATCCTCAACCTCTCCCCGTGCTTCACACCCCAAATCCTGTATGTTGCCGATGCCTGTCAATTTCACCTTTGTGACATGCTCCAATGTACCCCTTTCTCTCCTCTGACCCTGTCACCGCCTTGACCTCACACCTGCATTATTGCAATAGGCTGCTGGTGGATCTGCCTGCCTCAAGTCTCTCCCTACTCTGGTTCATTCTCCAGTCAGAAAAGTGGTTTTCCTAAAGCATGGGTCCAACCATGTCACCCCCCCCACTTAATAAATAAAGTGTGACCTCCAGGATCAAATACAAAATGTTCCCTTTGGCATTCAAAGCCCTTCCTAACCCAGCCCCCTCCTCCTTTTTCAGTCTTCTTACACCTTACTCCCTGACATGTTCTTTTCTGTCCAGTGACATTGGCCTCCTGGCTGTTCCACAAAGAAGACCTTCCATCCCCCAGCTCTGGGCATTGTCCTCCATGCCTGGAATGCTCTTCCTCCGCATCTCTGCCTCCTGGCTTCCTTCAAGTCCTAGTTTCAATCACACCTACAGAAAGCCTTTCAGAATCCCCCTTAATGTTAGTGCCTTGCCTCTGTTAGTTATTTACCATTTATTCTGTATATGGCTTGTTTGTACATATTTGCTCTTAGCACACCTGAGGACACGAAGAAAGGCAAAAGAAGTTCCCTGCCTTCAAGGAGCTTACAATCCAATGGCAGAGACAATAAGTAAACTAGGTGCAAACAAGCTATATACAGGATAAATGGTAAACAACCAATAATATTTATTGACTGACTAGCACATCGCAGCCACTTAATCAAGGATGGTTGAGGATGATGAAGCCACAACTGAACCGACTCAACCACATTTTACAGTTAAGGAAACTGAGGCTCAGGCAGGCTCGGGATTGGCCAGGCTCACGCAGATAACAAGTGCTCTGGGAGGGATTCTGATCCTAGCAGCACACCATAGATATCTGTGGTGCCTGTTCCCAGCTCCAAAGTCCAGGATCTCTGGCCAGAAGATGATGGCTAAGGCTGTGAGCCTCTGTGATCGCGGAAGCCTCCCAGCCCACCGCGTGCTCTCCTCCAGAGCTTCTGCGCAAGCGCGGGCCAGAAGGGAGGCGGGGATGGCGACGCTTTTGCGGTTGCCTGGCAACGTCCTCCAGCCTGGACCCCAGGGCTGGTGCCTTTTCTCCCTGAGTTCTCAGACTGTTAGGTCCCAGGCTTTGCACTTGTACCCCTCAGACACCCCTCCCTCTTAAAGCCTCGCGGCCCCCCTCCCCACCTAGGGCCTCGTTTTTCCCTCTCCCTTAAGCCCCTCTTCCTTTCCCTCTCTGGACCTCGAGCCCCCTCCCCATCCAGGACCTCGCTCTCTCTTCTCCTCGAGCCCCTCCCCCCGTCAGGATCCCCTCCCTTTTAAAGACTCGCGCCCCCCTTGTTATTGAGGTTCCCTTCCCCCCCGGGCCTCTCGCCCTCTTGTGACCCTTCAGATCCTTGTGGCCCCTTGTGGCCCCCTCCCCGCCATGGAGACCGAGCCGGGGACTGTGACGGTGAGCAAGGCCTTCCAAGAGCACCTTCGGCAGCTGTGTCTGCACGAGTTCCCGTGCGGTCTGGGCAGCTGGGTGAGCAGCCCCCCCTGCTTGTACCCCCGCCCTGGCAGGAGCATCTCTTGTAAGACCCTCGCCTGGGGGACGGGCTTCTGAGGACCCCCTGGTAAAAGGCACCCTAGGCCAGCGATGCCCGTCCCCTCCCACCTTATTTCCTCAGTCCCCCAGCCTGGGCACAGGAGCTCGGTCCTCTAGGGCAGGGCTCTTGGCTCTAGGCTTCCTGGACCGGGAGGAGATAGAACCTGTAACTCGGGTAAAGGGTCTCTGAAGCTGGTGAACCCCCACCCAGAGAAAGCCCCAGCCATGAGCTTGCAATCCTAAGTAGGATAGGACCCCTGGCCCCAATACAGAGTGTGGGTAAAGGACCTTCCCACCTCACTCGGGGACAATGAAAGGCTCCCAGGGCCAGTTCAGAGCTTGTAACTTGAGGAGAGGGCCTCTGGCTCCAATACAGAGTCTGTAACCAGAGGAAAAGGCTTTCTCTCCCCGCTTTGGCACTGGAGAGCTCCTGTGACCAATAAAAGACTTCAGCGTTGTACAGAGCCTACTTTGTAAGTCCAGGGAAGGGTCCTGACAATTCTCTCCAGAGTTTGTAAGTTAAGGATTCTTGGCCTCTGTACTGAGAGAGCCTGTAAAGGTATGAAAGACCCGCCTTCCTTTACAGAATTTGTTACCTCTAGGAAAGGTCTGCCACAAGCATTGTTTTTATAGAAGGACTCCATGATCTGGTAGGGGAGCTCGCAACTCTGATACAGGAATTACTTTCCCCCGCCATCCTGCAACCTTAAATAGCTCCCTCCCCCAATAGAGCTTGCACCCAAGAAAAGGGCTTCCCATAGTATAGAATTTGTAACCATGGTATAGGGTTCCCAGCCTTGGCAAAGAGCTCCTAGGGCCAATGAACCTGTACAGAGCTCATAATCCCCTGGGAGGAGCTCTCATGCCCAAAACAGAGTTTGTAACTCTAGGAGAGGACTCTCAGTTCCCAGTACACAGTTTTGTCTGTACTCCAGTATTGTCTCATAAAACAAAGAAAAAGAATGGAGGGTGAGAGTAAAAGACTCACTGGTCCTGGGACCAGTGAAGGGATCCCAAAACCAAGAAAGGGTTCTTAGGGAAGAGTCAGTGACCTCAGCGTAAAGCTTGCACCTCCAAGCAGGGCTTCTAGTTCAAGGACGAAGTTGGTAAATCTCAAGAATAGGCTCCTAGCCTCAACATAAAGTTTGTATTAATGATTGAATTAACAGATAATTATGAATAGCATGTCAAGCACTGCGGTGCTAGGTATTGGCGATACAAAGACAAAAATGAAAGTCCCTACCCTCAGAAAGCTTGCATTCTCTCTGTGCCCATATATGTATATATATATAAATGAAATATATACAAAATACAAGGTAATTTTAGGGGGCAGGCAACTTGGGATCAACGAAGGCGTCATGAAGGGAGGGGTTGCTGGAGCTGAGCTTTGAAAAAAGCTGGGGATTCTAAGTGGTAGAAATTGAGTTTAAAAAAAAAGCCACAATGTTACTGCAGAAATCTCCAGTATAATTTCCTTTGTAGATTCCTTTTGTAGAATTTATTTTGGTACTTTGAACTGGATGGTAACATAAACTTCATCTTACAAAGCTCAAAATGAGTACATGATTTAGACATAAAGGGTGGTATCGTAAGCAGATGGGTGGAGCATGGAATAGTTTACCTGTCAGATTTATGGATAAGGAAAGAATTTATGCTCAAACAAGAAATAGAAAGCATTACAGGATGTAAAATGGATAATTTTGATTACATCAAATTAAAAAGTTTTTGCACAAACAAAACCAATGCAACCAAGATTAGAAGGAAAGCAAGAAACTAGGGGAAAAATTTATAGCAAGTTTCTCTGATAAAGGCCTTGTTTCTCAAAGATATAGAGAACTAAGTCAAATTTATAAGAGTATAAGTCATTCCTCAATTGATAGATAAATGGTTTTTAATAAATAAATACTTTAATAAAATAAAGGTCAGTTTTCAGATTAAAAAATCAAAGATAGCTATAGTCATATGAAAAAATACTCTAAATGACTATTGATTAGACAAATGCAACTTAAAACAACTCTGAGGTATCACTTCACACCCATCAGATTGGCTAATATGACAGAAAAGGAAAAGGACAAATGTTGCAGGGGATGTGAAAAATAGGAACACTAGTGCACTGTTGGTAGAGTTGTGAACTGGTCCAAACATTCTGGAGAACAACTTGGAACTATGCCAAAAAGGCTATAAAACTGTGCATACCCTTTGACCCAGCAATACCCACTACTATATCCATATCCCAAAGAGATGAAAGAAAAAGGAAAAGGACCCATGTGTACAAAAATATTTATAGCAGCTCTTTTTGTGATGGTAAAGAATTGGAAATTGAGGGGATGCTCATCAGTCAGGGAATGGCTGACCAAGTTGTGGTATGTGATTGTGATGGAATATTGTTGTGCTATAGACATGACAAGGGGAATGGTTTCAGAAAAACCTGAGAAGACTTAGATGATCTGATGCAGAGTAGGGAACAGAACCAGGAGAACAGTGAACACAATAACCGCAGTATTGTACAGTGAACAACTGTGGGTGATTTCACTGTTCTGATCAATAAAGTGATTCAATTCTGAAGGATTTATGATGAAAAATGTTATCTACCTACCGAAAGAGAATTCATGAATTGTACAGATTGAAGCATAATCTTTTACTTTATTTTTCTTGCTTTTTTGGGGGGGGGCAACATGGCTAATATGGAAATATGTTTTACATGCTTTCACATGTGTAATTGATATCACCTTTCTTTTCATAGTGGGTAAGGGAGGAGTGGGAGGTAGGGAGAGAATCCAGAACTCAAAATTTTTAAAAAATGAATGTTAAGGGGCAGCTAGGTGGCACAGTAGATAGAGCACCAGCTCTGGCGTCAGGAAGACCTGAGTTCAAATCCAGCCTTAGACATTTGATCACTAAATACTTACTAACTGTGTGACTCTAGGCAAGTCACTTCACTCCAACTGCCTTGCCCCCCGCCAAAAAATGAATATTAAAAAAAATAGTCAAGAAAGGTATGTCACAAGAATTCAAAATTAAGTTTTAAGTAATTGGGGCTGTATTAAATTCTGACCATTTCTGGCATAGGGAGACATCTTGTGCCAAGGCACAAAGGTGCACAAAGGAGAGCTAGAATGTTTTAGGTTAGGGAGGGTAGGCAGGCCAGGTTAGCTAATGAGTAATGCATCTGGAAAGTCAGAAGCCCTATTGTGAAGGTTTTTAAGTGCCAAAAAGAGGAATTTGTAGTTTGTCCCAGAGGCAATAGAAAACCACTGGAGCCTTTCTGAGCAGAAGAGCAACATTGTCTGTTCAGTGCTTAAGTAAAATTACTTTGGCAACAGCGTGAGGGATGGGTTGGAGAGAAAATAGACGAGGCAGAGAGGGTACTGCTAGGACTGGGTTGTTTGGAGCCTGAACAAGGATGAAAAGGGCTTCCAAAACAAGTAAAAATTATCTAGCACCAGGATAGAAAACCAGATCATGAAAGGCATTAATTTTCAGAGAGAGGAGCTTGTATGTTATCCAAAAGGCCAAGAGAAGTCACCGAGGTTTCTGGAAGCAGAGAAGGGACACAGTTGTGTCTGGGTCTTAGTAACATTGATTTGGTAGCCATGTGCAGGATGGTTTGGGACAAAAGTGAACGCAGGGAGCACTCTTCTGAGAGTTCAGGTAAGAATGAGGTTCAAGTATCAGGTGCTCCCTTCATCTGCTCCTCCTCATTTACATAGATATCTACTTATACACCCTGATTTTCCCTTCCCTTCTCCTCCTAGTGTATGCCTCTTCCTTCTCTTCCCTTAAGATTCTTAAGGTTTTTTCTGGTGAGATTCTTTTTCTGTTTTCCCATTCTTCTGTCCTCCTTTTTGACTTTGGAGTTTATGTTAGGACCATGGTCCACACTCCTGGACAGAAGGTCTGGGCTGGTCTGTTGCTGCTCTCTTAGAGTACTGAGTATTGTGTCATTCTAGCATGTCAGGAGCTTCTTGGGCTGAGGACCTGCGAATTTGCGATGCTCCCTAAGCGGTCTCATTTAGGGTCAAATCTTATTTCTTTCCCCTGGCCTGACCTCTGCAAGTTCCTGACCTGGGTTTGATTCTGAGAAACAGCAGACTGTTGTTGGACTTAGCCATTACTGGCCATATGGGAAGCTCTCTAAGTTCCCTCTGGTCAGAAAGTCCCACCCTGATTATTCCTCTGCAGGTTTCAGAGTAGGCTAGAAGCTGGACCTGAGCCACCACTCTGCTCCTGGGGTCTGAGCCACACTGCTGCTGCTTGTTTCTCTCAGTAGGCTGCTCAGGGAGTATAATTGCTCCTTACTTCTTAGCACCACCCCTGGGAACACAGTCCACCCTTGGTCTATGACCTAGAACTGCATAGTAAGTGACAAAGTTGCCAGATGACTTCTGGTCCCTGGTATGGATCTGGGTCTAGGACCTCTTCTTGCACACATACCCCTCCCTCCTCACTAGTAATGAGCCTCTTGGTGGGTGCTGAAGTGCTCTGCATGGCTGCTTTCTGGCCAGACCCTGTTCCCAGCATCTGCAGACCTCTCTGTCTCATTATGCTGACCTGGGCTGGAAAAATGGCTACCTTTTTTCCCCTGTATTTCCCCATCAGGATTCAGTCAGGTATATTTTTCTAGATCTAATTGGAAGAGTTTTTTGGGGGGTGACATAAAAGCTACTGCACCATCTTGGTTCTACCCCAGAGAGCTTCTTTGAAGGTCCATTGAAATAATTTTGAAATGCTCCCAGTTCCTCTAGGTGAGAATTGGGGGATTCCAGGTACCACAACACTATACAGTTCTTTTGCAGGCTCAGAAAAACTTAGGCTTAAACTTACCCTGTCTGCATGGTCTGCTGAATACTTCTAAATTGTAAGTTTTATAGTTGGAACTGACAGTTATCTCTCTTTCCATCTGTGGAATGGGCTCATTCATATGTTCCTTCCGAAGCATTCTATAGTAACTCCAATATGTCAAAAATCTATGTGTGTGTGTGTGTGTGTGTGTGTGTGTGTGTGTGTGTGTATGTGTATGATTTCCCAATGCAGATAGCAACCCTCTTTTTAGTAGATGGCATTCCACAGCTCCTGTGGCCAAAAAAAAAAAATCCATCACCCTTCAGCCAGCCATCTGATGATGAACTTCTTCAGATTTAGCTAGACTGGTTCTCAAAAAACAGACAGTTAGTCAACAGACTCCTACCCAAGAATTGGGCTGTGCTGGTATAACCTTTGAGATTCTGAGGTTGCTGCTATGCCATGATGAAGCTTGGGGGTAGTAATTTAATGTGGATTCTGTAGTTATTTCACATTTACGTTTCTCAGCCAAATTGCAAACTCCCCAAAGAGGGGGAATTGTGACTTTTAATTCTTGGGCATTTTCCCAAGTAATTGGCAAATTGCTTGGCTCCCATGTGGTGCTCAATCAGTACCACTTATTTTCTTTAAAGCATATTTTACTGTTTTCTTTTGTTTTTATATGAACTTCATTTTTCTATCTACCCCTCCTCTTTTCCCTACCCATGAAGTTCTCCTTTGTGCCAAAGAATAAAAAAGGAGAAAAAAGACAGTTCCACAAAGCCAGCCAACACATCAGCCACATCTGGCAGAACAGGTGATGCTACACATCTGTGTGAGGGAGGAGGCACTTTTTCTCACCTCTTCCACCAGACCAGGCTTAGTCATTGTAATTCCCTGTGGTGTTCCATTTTGTTCCTGTGGCTATTCTTTCCATTTACATCAACGTGAGCATTGTTCTCTTGGTTTTGATTACTTTACTCTGTCAGTTAATCTGCGTGTCCTTGTGCTTCTTGGAATTCTTCATGTGTGTCATTTCTGATGGCACAATAGTATTATGTTAATATACTACAATTTGCTTAGCTATTTCTCAGTTGGTGGGCATCTATTGGGTTTCCAATGCTTCTAGTACCATAAATGGTACTGTTATGAAGATCTATCCTTTATTCTTTTTTTTCAGCTTTTTCTTTTATTGATGCTTTTTTTAAATGTCAGAGTCACTTTTTTTGGAGGTAATGGGGTTAAGTGACTTGCCCAGGGTCACACAGCTAGTAAGTGTCAAGTGCCTGAGCCTGGGATTTGAACTCAGATCATTCTGACTTCAGGGCTGGTGCTCTATCCACCGCGCCACCTAGCTGCCCCCAGAGTCACTTTTTGATAGACTCCTCCCTTACAACAAAGAAAAACAGTGAAATGAAATACTGGGATAATGACTCTCTGACAGCCTGTGGTCTGATGGTGCAAGCAACATTCTGTACACATATACATTATATATACAAAAATATACATATATATACAAATACATTAAAAATATATCTTCTAATTTTCTTTTTAAATTTTGTTGCTATCTTTTGCTTTTGTATCACCTTCTCTTCCAGGTACATCCCTCCACTTTCTCCTACTCAGAGAGCTATCCCTTGCAGCAAAGCTATTGAGCAAAAGTCACTAACACCATAGTTATGACAGTATATGCAATGTTCCACATTCATAGCCCACCACCTCTGCAATGAAGAGAGGGGATGCATTTTCTTATTTCTTCAGGAACAAGCTTGGTCATCATTGGACACCATTCAATTTCTTTTGTTATTCATTGTTATAGTCATTGTTTATATTGTTTCCCTGGTTTGATTTGCTTAATTTTTTCATTAGTTCATATGTCTTACTATGCTTTCTGTATTTATCTTATGCTGTATTTTATAGCTCAATGACATTGCATTATATTCCTATATCACTTGTTTAATCATTTCCCATAGATAAGCATCTACTTGTATTTAGTTCTTTGCTACCACAAAGTGCTGCTAAGAATGCTTTTCTCAGTTTTTTTTTCTTAATTGTCCTATTTTACTTGTTACATTTTGTAAACTACCTACAAAATGCTCAGATAAAATTCTGCACCGATGATAGGAAAGTCTTCATCTCCAGATAATCTTTAGAGACAAGTACTGGCAGGCTGCTATTGCAAACAGTTGTTTTTAATAAGAAAACCAAATTCTGTAGCAATCTTCATATGAAAATCTACCTCATCCGTATTTCTTGGTTAAGGTGAAGAATTCTTAACTTTTAATATTAAAATGTTCAGTTTAGTTTCTTGAATTCCAACTGAATAATATATGTATGTGTGTATACATATGTGTATATGTATATATGTAGTACATATAATTCTGATCACTCACTTCAAAGAAGGGAATCTATATATTTAATTTAACAAACATTTATTGAGAACCTATGATTAAGTACCAACAGAAATAATCAATAAGCAGGCATTTATTAAGCCCTTACTGTGTGCCAAGCATTGACAGAAATACAAAGATAAATAAGATGGAGATCATAGAACTACATTTCTCATTTTCAGTTGACTATTTGAAATAATTAACAGCTACAGGGGCAGCTGGGTGGTGCAGTGGATAGAGTGCTGTAGGTTCAGATCTGGCCTCAGACATTTATTAGCTGTGTGACCCTTGACAAGTCACTTAACCCAGTTTGCCTCACTTTCCTCATCTGTAAAATGAGCTGGAGAAGGAAATGGCAAATTACTTCAATATCTTTGCCAAGAAAACCCCAAATGCGGTCATAAAAAGTCAGACATGACTAAAAAACGACTGAACAATGCAGCTATATATGGACTCCCAACTTGTTTCTTTCTGCTAATGGTAGTAGGCGTGAAACCATGGACTTCTCCTTCTTCCAGGTGCTCCACATGCTATCATTAGCTATTTTTTGTCAATCCTTCTTTTGAAATAACTCTCAAATCCATCCCTTCCTTTTTTATTTTAATTGCTGCCACACTGGTCCAGTCACCTGGGTTTGAAACCTGAAGAGTCCCTTAACTCTTCCCACATCAGTAGTGGGATGGGGCCTGGGAGTGGCCTTTGGGGCTTCAACCTGGGTGCGACAGGGAAACCCAGTCTCAAAAAACAAACAAAGAAATTGTTTGGTCAGTGGTTTGTTGCCTCTAGGACGGGTTTCTCAACCTGGCATTTCAAGCCTGTTGCCAATCGGCTCCCATGCACTTACTTCCCAGGCAAACTTGCTCTCTTCCCTTTTGCCATTCTTCAAGCCCAGGACGTTCCCTCTTCTGTATCTAGGATTCACTCTCTCCCTCTTCACCTCTGCTTCATAAAATCCCTAACTTCCTTCAAAGCTCTATTCGGGTATCACCTCCAATAGGAAGCCTTTCCTGGCACCTTCAGTCACTATGCTACCTCCCTTCTGATATTGCTCAGTATTTACTTTTCTAGATCCTGTATGTTATATTCCTCCAGGAGAATGTAAATTCCTCAACCCCAGGGACTGATTCATTTTGCTCTTGCAATGCTTTCATAGGTGCTTAATAAATATTTGCTGTTGTCTAATTGAATTATCTAGAGCTCTCTGATCTTCCCCTACTACAATACCTCCTGTATACTGTTGCCCTATTCATCTTCCTCAGGTAACCCCTGGATGACAGCATTTCCTTGCCTTTGATTAGAATGGAATTCATACTCTTCTGTTTAACCTTCAAGGCCTGGCCTCAGCCCCCCTTTCTACCTTCATCTCAAGCTATCACCCAATATGTTTTGTAATCCAGTCAAAATGCCTTACCTGCTGTTTCTTGAATGGGTCCTCTGCTTTCCTGTCCTAGCTCATGTTGTTTCCTTCATCTGTAAGCCCAACACCCCCTTATCATCGCCCATTCTCTACTCACCTACTTAGGTCTACTTCAAGCATCTACTCAAATATCTCTTCCCTGGTCTCTCTAGAAAGAAACCCTCTTTACCTAAGTTGAAGTCCTCTGGCTTTTTATTTAGAGTCATTTAGGAATGTGGCTTTCTTACTTCCTAGACTTTAAGCTCCCTAAGGGCAGGAACCATATTATTGTGCCTAGCATAAGGCTTTTCCTACAATAGGCTCCCAGGAAATACTTGTTAGATGAATGAATACTTGTCGAATGCAAGTTTAAACTTATATGAACTCTCCTCTTCCTACTTCAGAACAGAACCCGCTTTTCCCGTAAAAACTTGAAATCCTGGAAAGGTGGGATCCCTAAAATGCCAGATAAAGTGTCCCCTGAAGAGGAGGCTGTGGAAAGCCTGTTGAGGCTGGTACGAAGTGCAGAGTCTCCCTGGGCTCAACACAAGGATTCAACCATGGAAGACCAATATCTGAGAGAGCTCGCCATCCAGAACCCCCTCGTCATTGACAACGCCTTCTTATTCTCCTATTTCACATCCCTGCGAGTGGTGAACAAGGGGGTAAGCGCTGGAGACAGGGAAAGGCATCAGGAGACAGAGGTTAATATTAGAAAGGGGCGGGGGAGCAGTCCTCCTTCCATAAATTATCGGTGAGATGAAGGACAAAGAGGGGGGAAATAGAGGAACAAGAATCCGGAAAGCCTAGAACCACCAAGTTCTAATTCTGCCTTTATAGTGAACTTGGGAGATCTGGATTAGAGGGAATCTAGTCCAACTTTCTCTTTTTACAAATGGGGAAACTGAGGTCCAAATAAATGGGAAGACTTACCCAAGGTTCTACAGTGAGTTACTGTGTGTGTGAGTCAGAGCTTGAACCTCACTGTTGCAGAGACCTTTGCATCGCACAAAATGGTTCCTTCATGACCCCTCCAGTGGTCTCATGGATGATGGGATTCTCTCCACCAGTATAGGTCACAACTCTTCTGTATATTCTTGTCCTAGGAAGTTCTTGTATCTGTTTTCCCATAGAACCTAGAGTAATACTTTGTAACCTATAGTGTGTCATAGTCCCCATGGACCCCTTCTCAGAATCATGTTTTTAAATACATAAAATAAGACACATAAGATTACAAAGGAAACAAATTATATTGAAATACAGTTGTCAAAATATTTTTTAAAAAAAGATATTCCTCGGACCTGCAAGTTAAGAACCCCTGTCCTCGAGGATCTACCATTGTGTTGAAGGCCTTCTATGCTGTTTGGCATTTTGTGGGTACCAGTCTAACATTAGGGCTCTCCATTGGGTGGCCCCTTGCTGTTACTACAGCACCCCTCCCATCATCTTTTCAGATCCTACATTTCCTGAATCATGTTTCTTGTACCTCTTCTTATATGTTGGTTATCCCTGGAAATATACTATAGCCGAATTTCATCCTCCATGTGTCTCTTGTCAACCATGGCATCACTGGCTTCTTTGGTTTTTTTTTTAGAGTTTGTAGCATTCCAAGATTCAGTCATACACAGTCAAAACTGGGAGAATTTATTTGAAAGGATGGATTTTTATGCCAGGAAGCGTTAAAAGCTCTGTGAAATTTCTTCAACATGTTCCTAGCTCCATTTAGATGAACAAGAATGTTGTTTTGCCTAAAGTAGAGTCATTATTATGGTCCTGGCTTGCGTTTTGGGAACACAACTTGCCCTCCCATATCTTCCAGGTCACCCTAATTGATGAGGACCTACTGAAGTTTTTTAAGCTTGAAGAGCTGATACTGAGTGCCAACCGAATCAGGACGGTGGACCCCATGAACTTGCCCCCAACTCTGAAGGTAACTAGTGGCCAACATTCCGGGTCTTTCAGTCAGAGCTGTGAAGGCTGTGCCCCAGACGTGCTGAGGGGTATGGCCAGCACCATTGGGCTGAATGCAAACTGCCAGTGGGGCATCCTGGGCCTTTTAAAATGGGAGCAAGGAGGAAACCCGAACCTAGAAGGGAGCTTTTTAAAAGACATTCCCAGGTTTAAGTTTGGGGGCTGAATCCAGAGAATATTTGGCATTGGTGGCAAGAGGGAATGAGGAATGCCGTTCTGTGGCCTGCTGAGTGATTGCTGAGCCAGACCCTGGTGGAGGGGTTTCGAGGAGGGAAGCAGAGCCCACCCATCCTCTACTTACCACTTCAAAGGCCTTCCTAAATGCCTGCCACCCCTTTTGCCCTTTGACTCTTCTGGAGATCCGCCTCATCTCAAATCCACAAATGTGTGATCCCCACCTCCACTCCCAGTTTTTATTTTCCTTCAAATATGAAAGCAAACTTCTAAACCTGCTACAGGGAGATTTTCTTCCCAAATTTCTATTAGCTTTCTCCACAATGTCCCCCTCCTCATCTGACCAATGAAATTTGCTACAGAGGAGTTAGGATACATTCATTTATTTAATAAACACTTATTAAGCTACTATTATTTATAGAGAACTACCCTAGGTGCTGAGGATGGGGGATGAGGGGAACTATGAAGTCTAGAGAAGACATGGTGGGGTTGAAGATAGGGGAAAAGACCCCACCTCCTAAAGTTCAAGGGAGGAAAAATCTTCACCAAAGGAGAGGGTCTCAAAAGAGGGGCCAGTTCCACAACTCTTACAGACCATCATGGTGGAAAATGTTCCTTCTCCAGAAGGATCTTCTGGGCCTCAGTCAGCAAATCATCAGGCATTGGGGACCAGTCCAGCACTGAGTGCCCTCTCAGCAGGATGTCCAGATGGATCAGCAGTCCCCAGGGCCAGCAAATTCCTAGTGCAATGCCACAATAGTATAAATGGATCAGGATGGTGTGACCATCTTAATAAAACTTTCCTTCCCTCCCAAAGAAATCATAAAAAAGGAGAAAGAACCTACATGTGCAAAAATATTAATAGCAGCTCTTTTTGTGGTGGCAAAGAATTGGAAATTGAGAGGATGCCCATCAATTGGGGAATGGCTGAACAAGTTGTGGTATATGAATGTAATGGAATACTATTGTTCCATAAGAAAAGATGAGCAGAAGGACTTCAGAAAAACCCGGGAAGACCTGCATGGGCTGTTGCAAAGTGAAAAATGTACTGTGTACAAAGTAACAGCAATATTGCAAGATGATCAGCTGTGAATGACTTAGCTATTGTCAGTGATACAAAGATCCAAGACAACTCTGAAGGACTTAGCATTAGAAATGCTGTCCATCCCTAGAGAAAGAACTGATGGTGTCTAAATACAGATTGAAACATTATATATATATATATAATATATATATATATATATGTACACACATACATACCTACATACACACATGTGTATGTGTGTAGTGGAAATTGAGGGGATGCCCATCAACTGGGGAATAGCTGAACAAACTGTGGTATGTGAATGTGATGGAATACTGTTGTGCAAGAAGAAATGATGAACAGGCAGATTTCCGAAAAACCTGGAAAGACTTACATGAACTGATGCAAAGTGAAATGAGCAGAACCAGGAGAACATTGTACACAGTATCAGCAACATTGTGTGAGGATCAACTCTGAATGACTCAGCTCTTCTCAGCAACACAATGATCCAAGACAAATACAAAGGACTTATACGGAAATATTTTTACATGATAGCATATGTATAAACTATATCAAACTGCCTACCATTTTCAGAAGAGGGGAAGGAAGGGAGGGAAGAAAATTTGGAGCTCAAAATCTTATAAAAATGAATGCTAAAAATTTTCTTCACATGTAACCAGGGGAAAAATAAAATACTATTAGAAAGAAAAAAAAAAACTTTCCTTCCTGAGTTCTATGGGTTTCCAAAGAAGGAAGGAAGGAAGGTATTTCTGGGTTTGTTTTTCCTTCTAGTCACAGCCTCTGTGATGTTCTCCTCACTTAGGTTCTGGAGCTCTATGGAAATGAAATGACCAGTATCCAGTGTTTGTGCTCTCACCCCCCTCCGGCCCTCCAGCATTTGGGCATGGGCCACAACAAACTTATTGGCTTCCTGGAAAGCCAATATATCACAGCCAATTACTGGTAATTGAAGATCTCTTAATTGGGAGGTGGGGGGGGGAAGGGGAGAGATTAAACATCCGACATTGTTGTTTCTTGGTGGATAAAACAGTTTGATTTTGGTCTTTTTATTGCCACTTCTCGGCTTATGGCTACAGACTTCAAATTTTTGTTTCTCATCCAACCCACCAAATGAGGGAAACTTTCATGGTTGTGATGCGCAGAGTCAGCTCTTATTTATAATCTATTTGGCGGGTCAGCCATGGAAAATCGGAAATCCCAGGGCATGGGGGTGGAAGGCTATCGAAGGGAACCTTGCCAAGCATTCTCCAAATAATGCAATTATGATGCCTCACGTTAGGTAGAATTTCCAGTGTCTAAGACCACTGTTTTTCCCTCTCCCATATTCAAATAAATTGCAATTCTAAATTATCGAAAAGGTGACAGGGCAAGTATCTTTTTAGGGTAGGTTGACCTTGGAAGGCCAGTCTCTATGTTCAGTAAAGGCCTGTTGAACTGAATTTCCAAGCTCTTAGAAGAGAAGAAAAACATTGATCAGTGCAAACTGCAAGTGATCCCAAATCCCACTCTTTGACCATAACTTCTGACCTCCTCCCCTTTTTCTGCTGACATTTATTTACCCAGGAGGGCCTTGACAAAATTGCTAAGGAAAGAAACCTCCATTGGGCAGTCTGGTTAACAGAGAGGGTTAGCCAGAGATAATTCACTTTTGAGATCCACCTATACGCATTGCTTCAAAGCTTAATAAATGGAACATATATCTCACATGTACATTTGCCCCCTGCTTTTTCCTGGTCTTTGGAAGAGTGTGACCCCTGTGACTGATTGTTCCTGTGCCCTCATAGACCAGGCTCTGAGAATGTCATACAAGAGGACATGTCGTCAAAGGGAAGGAAAGATTTGAGTGAGGAAGTTTATTCTGTGGGAAATTGTTACTATTTAGTGTGATTGTAAAGAGATAAGTTACCGGTGGAGAAGTTTGGGTTTTTTTTTTGTTTTTTTTGGTGGGGGGTGGTTTGGGTTGGGTTTTTTTGCTCTGGTACTTGGAGCTAAAATCTGTTTCATTTTTAGTTTGTGTCAGTGGGAAAATCCACCCTCTGCCCATCCTTATCTCTCTTTGTCCTCTTCTTTGCCAAGTCCCTAGGCTCAGCCCTTGAGAAACTAACACTCTTGACTCTCCGATATATTCTTCTTGACTGACCTCTTGCCAGAGAGGACTTTGGTCGTTTTAGCTTAGAGAAGGTGGTTGAAGCTGCTGTCGTGGGCAGCAACCTCACCTGCTTACTTCTCCAGACTTTGTGGTGTGGGTAGGAGAAGCATAAGCCTTAGAGCCAGACGGGGCCAATTTACAGATGAACAAAGGCTCCCAGAGATTTGACGTACTGCTAGGGTAGTTAATGCTGACACAGCGGTTTAAAGGTCTGCAAAGTGTTTTACATACTCTCACAACCACCCTGGGAGGTGGGTGCCATTATTAGACCCATTTTAAGATGAAGAAACTGAAGCTGGCAGAGGTTGAGTGACTTGCCCAAGGTCACACAGCTAATAAGTGTCTGGGATTAGATTTAGACCCAGGTCTTCCTGACTCCAGGTCCAACATTCAGTTTTCCTCTTGTCCTCGTTAGTACTCTTCTCTGGTTTTTGTTTTTGTTTTTTTCAATCAGCCAACAAATACTTATTGAGTATGTGCCAGGGCTGGAGAAGGTGTGGGGCCCGCACGGAAGGGTTTGGCATTTGTGCACCTGGTCTGGAGAGGCCAGAGTTAGCCCTGAGGGTGGAACAGCAGCGCCATGCTTGGAGTCTGAGGGTCTCTCTGCTACTATTAATGTCACCTTGGGCAGGTAACCTTCCCCTCTCTGGGCTTTTCTTGCCTATAAAAATAAGGGGATGAGATCAGATGATTGCTATGGTTTATAGCATTTCTGGGGACATGGGGCATATGCTTATAAAGATGATTTATGAACAGAGGGATGACATGCTAAATGCCAACCTAGTGGTACAAGATCACTTGTGCTTTGCAGATTAGGCAGGATTTCATTCAGGCCTTGTAGGTCCAGCACTTGCCATAAGACCTGCCCCAAGTAAGTGCCAACAGTCACCTGTGGGTTGATTGATTGGTGGAGAGGTAGGGACCATAGCCCACAGCAGGAGAGGACGTTAGCTAGAGATACAAGTGAACAAGAGATGATCCAAGTTAAGGTGGGATGGGCAGGGTTTTGGGCTCGCAATTTTAGTCCAATCCTATAGGCCCAAGGGACACAAAGACTATGGAAAACAGGGTCTGCATTGAGGGGTTTGATTCCTATTGGATTAAAAATTTTAAATCAGTGGTTTTTAGAGTTGCTGCAGTTTTGAAATTTGCTATACGTACACATTGATATCACGTGCACTCCTGTAACTAGAAATTACTGAACTTAGCATATGGTTAGCAGGAATATGAGTTCACATTGAGTAGAGGGAGCACTGGCTGACTGGGCGCCAGAATTCCTAGAGAGAGCTCTGGGTGTGCTGGGCCATGTCAGCCAGCCTCACTGAGTGGATTGGCCCTGGACTGTTTCACCTTCTAGGCCTAACCTGGTCTCCCTGGACCTAGGCTACAATGACCTGACTGGGTTGCATTACATCATGGCTGGCCTGTATACTCTGCCCCAGCTGAGGCTGCTGGTTCTACAGGGAAACCCTCTGTCTCTGGTGCCCCATTACCGGGGCTACACCATCGACTGCCTGCCCCAGCTCTATGTGTTGGATGACATCAGCGTCTCCCCAGAAGAGAGGCACCTGTTTCAGGGGCTCAGCTGCAAACTAGGTAAGGTGGAGGAGGGAATGCGGTAGATACTCCTCTTTCTCTCTAAACACTTTGCCTGTAATTTAGAGGTCGAGGCAGTTAGTTGGCACAGTAGATGAGTCAGGAAGATCTGAGTGCAAATTCAGCTCCAGACCTCGGCTAGGTGACAGTAAGCAATCGCTTAACCTCTGTTTGCCTCAGTTTCCCTATCTATAAATATAAGTATGATAATAGCACCTCCCTTCCAGGGTGCTTATGAAGATCAAATGAGATAATACTTATGAAATGCTTTGCAAGCCTGAAGGAGCTTATATTAATAAATGCTTATCATCATCGTCATCATTATTTTCCACTCTATTGCAAATCCCCTGGCAGGATCAGATCCTGCTAAATTGCATCTAATCCTGATGAGTTCAGGGTGCACCCCAAAATGTTAGGGTATCACCTGAAATGATGAGGAATAGACGTGCAGTTCCTGTTGCCCTGAAAGAATTCACTCGGCTAGTGTCCAAGTTAAAGAAAGGCATTTATTGGGGTGATGCACCCAAGCGGCCTTGCTCCCTTGAGGGACGGCCTCAGTGGTCTTTACTCCCCTTGGGAGACAGAGCACAGGCGGCAGGCTGTACTCCTCTAACCTTGCAGAGCGGTCCTGCTTCCCCCAGGAGGCAAAGGCGATTGGCCACCTTAAAGATCTGGTTTCAATACAATTCTGTGGAATAGGAGAAAGGGGACAAGAGAGTGGGAGGAGCAAGCTGGCCTGCAAAATGCCTGGGCCATCACCGTCGGAGGTGCCTTTATTACACAGGTAAACCAGAAGAGGAGAGGGGAGGGGAAGAGTTGTTCTGGAATGTCAGGTTAATTGGGGGTGCTTTGTGAAGGCGCACAGGGAAGTCCTCGGTGGAGGTTTCAATGCATAGTCTTGTTTGATCACTTTTCTGGCTGGTCACACCCTGCATCTTATCTCCCATCTCCCATCCCGCATCCTGCCTGCCCCATCCACCTCGAGCACTGCTTTCTACCTCGGCAGGCCGAGGGAAGTCTCCCGCTTCTACAGCCAGAAGGGACTCCCGGTTTTTATCCTTGTGATCAGGTCTCCTTTTGGTGGGAGCTGTCTGAGCCACCCGCAGCCCAGAAAATAGCGCTTTAAACTAAAACCTTCCTTGGCTCTTGGTAGGTTTTTTGCCGACTAAAGACTACCCCCTTGTGGCCAGTGCCCCAAGCTACATGAGCCTTCCCAAGGTCAGGGCTCATGTTGGGGGATAGGTGATGGAAGAATCATCCCTTTCCTACCTCTCCCAGTCACTTCCCTGGCACCACGCGGATACCTCCATCCCCAGATTTTTGTGGACTGACACCCACCTCCCCATTGCAGGATTTGCAGAAGAAGAAGCCCATTTAATAGTGACTATGAAGAATGTCACAGGTGTTTTGGATTCCTCTGTCTTGGACCCAGAACCAACGATTGAAGGCCCTTATATTGTTTATAGCTACTATGTGACGTATAATTTTGTCGAGGATGAAGAGGACACTGGGAAGGAGTATGCTAGTAATACGGAAGAGGTAGGTGAGGGTCCTTCTCTAGAGAGTGGGGGGCATAGAGGGGAAGGGAGGGAAACACTACTTAAGCCCTGCTCCCCAAGCTAGGTGGCTGAGAGGATAGAGTACTGGGCTTGGATCTAGGAAGACCTGAGTTCAAATCTGGTCTCAGACACTCACTAGCTGTGTGACCCTGGGAAAGTCACTTAACCTGTTTGCCTTAATCTGCCGGAGAAGGAAATGGTAAACCACTCCAGTATCTTTGCCAAGAAAACCCCATGAACTGTATGATCCCCAGGATCAGGAAGAGTCAAACATGACTGAACAACAGTAGCTCAGCCCCCCAGCCCCAAATCTCCTTCTTTAGATGGGCAGCCTGGTCTTCTTTTCCCTTAGAGGCCTTTGCAGTTAGGTGACTTCCCTAATGGAAACCAGAGAAGGGGTTAACATGCAGGGGCTCCTTTGACTTGTGGCCCCATTAGACATTCCTGTAGCAACCAGCATGGTGGATGGTAGACCAGCTGGCCCTCGGTTTATCTCCTAAGCTCCCTAGCAATCAGTCATCCTCTGGGCTATGGATTCCCCACAGAAGCCCCTGATGATATGGGTCAAGTTTTGCCATAAACCTTTAGCATTAACCTGGTTATGCCTAAGTCACCCCCAATAAGAGGAACTCATTGATGTAAGAGTGCTAGGACCCTGCTCACCTTCAGGTCATTAATTCAACATTGAACTTTGTAATTTGCTTATTTAATCCAGGGTTTTTGCTGCTGTTCAGTCGTGTCCAACTTTCCACGACCCGACTTGGGATTTTCTTGGCAGAGATACTGGAGTGGTTTTGCCATTTCCTTCTCCATCTCATTTTACAGATGATGAAACTGAGGCCAACAGGAAGAGTTACATGACTTGCCCAGGGTCACACAGCTAATAAGTATCTGAGACCAGATTTGAACTTGGGGAAGATAACTCTTCCTGACTCCAGGCCCTGGCGAGGATGTCTCGTTTCAATTGCATTGGGTAAAACCTCTCTTCAACAGGGCACACTGGTCATCTTTGTATGTCTCCTGGCAGGTTAACAAACTCCACGAAACCCCGCTACTGTCAACCATGCTTTCCAGGGAGGCCAATGGTGAAACTGAAGCAGATCCCCGGCTCAACCCAGGCCCAGGGTAAGGATGGAAACTGCTGGGGTCATTGAGGTCTGAATAAGCCCAGGAGGAAGGGGAAAAAAATTTGCATCTTTATTTTCACTAACCTCTTACTATAATTAGTATTTCCATCAGTTATTATTTTTATTAAAATATTATTCTGAGAAAAGGTCTGTAAGCTTCACCAGACTTCCAAAGCAGTCTTATAAACTGTAACTTTAACCTTCCCCAGAAAGGTGAAGAACTGCTACCCTAGATATTGGTTTGCAAGGCCAAGCCGTGGGCCTCAGTATTCTAGAGTAGGATTATATTCCTGATCGCTCCTTACCCAGACTATTCACTGTCCTCTTCCCAGTATCAACTGTCTGTTAGCCAGAATAATCAAGGAAGGAGGGAATGGTGGCTGGTTTGGAGCTAATTATATTTTCTAGTTTGCTGAGGATTTTTAACCAGAAAGTTCTTTTGTTGTTGAATATTTTTTATCAAGTATATGAGTCTAATTCTAGGCAGAGTAAACCCAGTCTTTTATTTTTAAATTTTTTTCTGGCATCAACAAAAAAATTCAGATTCATAAACAATAATAAAAATGATTATATGTGAAACCATGAACTCCCACTAGTTCTGTTTAACCGCTGGGGTACTGATGATCAGAGTCCTGGTGCTATTCAATAACCAGATCTGATTGCTGTCAACCCACCGATCATCCCCTGAGGTTACACCCACTATACAAGACTAGAGGTCACTCTAGGAGTAATGCTAAACTCTCTCTGGTCCTCAGAGAGCCAGCTACCTCTGTCCCCATTCCTCTGGGGAACAACGCTTTCCTCCTCAGTGTAAGGACAGATTTCTCCAACAGACTGTTAGTTGAGTGTGCACGTACACACACACACACACACACACACACGGAAATTTCTTCCCCTTGCATTTCCATTGAAATTCTTCACAAAAAAAGCAGCCTCCTGTCCAGGTGATGTCCCTGCCAGCCTGCCCAGTCCTCATTTCCCATCTTCAATTAGCCACTCCTCAGCTAGTAAAGAATAGGCTGGGCGTTATGTACATTTCTGTCCCCGGCTCCCTCCGAATACAAAAGGCCTCAATTCTCTGGGGACCTCTTCCTTCTCTGGCTCATTGGTTCCACCCATGGGGTACCTGGGAACTTCAGTAACTGGCATTCCCTCAAGAGTAGCTCCCATTCACAAGAACCCAGGCTCACAAACCTCAATAAAGCATTTTCTTTAAAAAGAAGGCAGAGGGAAGTGAAAGATTCCTTGTCAGGCAGCCCACTGCCCGCCCCTGCACTCAGGCTTACAACCTTGCCCAAGGGAGGCTCTAGCCAGGGCCCTGCCGAACCAAGGGATGGTTTTTCCCATCACTTTTCTCCCCTCAAGTCCCTTCAGTCTGGGCCACCTGGCCTTTGCTCCAGTGGCTCTTGGCAGGCCCTTCTGGGATCGGTAGCTGCTCCCTGACTTTGTTTTCTGCCCCTAGCAGTTCAGCTCAGCCCCTGCTTTTGCTCTTTTCAGTCCCACTCCCTGTAACTCAGCATCTTGGCAGACTTCTGAGGCCTCAAAGTCAGCATCTTCATTCCTTTGGAAGCTTTATTTCCCATGCCCAAATGCTGCAACCCCTGCCCTTTAAGCCAGAGGTCTTTCAGGATGCTTTGGGAATGCTGCTTTTTTGCCTTCTTCAAAGAGGTGGTTGTATTTTGCACCATAAAGATTTATGGTGAGGTAGCACCATTTGTCCTTTCTTTACCCCAGCTTCTGGGGGGTAAATCCCAAGTTAACAGCTATCCCCTGGCTCCCCCCTGAATCTCAGGGATCAGATTCTCTGCTCATTTCCCCCCTCTGGGCATTGTTTCTTTGTCCTCCGTCAGGGTCCTACCCTCAGGTAGCCAGGCTCCAGCTTCAAATGACTAGGGAACTGCTTTGTGAGAGGTCTCCAAAGGAAAGGCCGAGCACGGTGCCGCCCATTCCTAACAGGATGGTTTTGAGAGAGTCACATTTGGTATTCCTTACTGTATTTGCATAGGATTTGCCTAAAGTGGCCCAGACTGAGTCACTGAGTGGTGACCCCTTATCTCTCTCTCACCTTCAAACTGATAGACTATAACAGATGGCTGTTCTAAGAAATTCCTTATCTAGCTCTGCATATGGTAGATTGAGGAGCACTGGGACCCTCTGAAGGTAGAGGCTGAACCCCTATGGACAATGATTGAACTTATTCCTCACCGATGAGCATGCCCCTACTCCACAGTGATGCTGAACCCCTGGCTTCTAGGCTGCCACCCAAGGCATCGAATAGAGCTCTGGGCCTGGAGTCAGGAAGACCTGAGTTCAAATCTAGCCTAAGACACCCTGGGCAAGTCACTTAATTGTTGCCTGCCTCAGTTTCCTGAAATGGAGATAACAATAGCACCTCCCTCCCAAGGTTGTGTGAGGATCAAATGAGATAATATTGTAAAGTGTTTGGCAAAGAGCCTGGAGCACAGTAGGCACTTAATAAATACTTATTTCCTTCCCTCCCTCTTTCCTTCCATCTTTCCCTCGCTCTCTCCTTCTTTCCCTCCTTCCTTCCTTCCCTCCCTCCCTCCCTGCCTCTCTCCTTCTCTCCCTTCTTCCCTTCCTACTTCCTTCCTTTCTTCCTTCCTCCCTTCCTTTTTCCTTTCTTCTTTCCCTCCTTCCTTCCTTCCCTCTCCTTCCTTTCTTCCTTCCTCCCTCCCTCTTTTCCTTCCCTCCTTCCTTCCCTCCCTGCATCCCTCCTCTCCCTTCTTACCTCCCTACTTCCTTCCTTCCCTCCCCCTCCTTCCTTCCCTCTTTCCCTCCCTCCTTCCTTCCCTCCCTCTCTCCTTTCCTTCCTTCCTTCCCTCCCTCCCTCCTCCCTTCCTTCTTCCCTTTTTTCCCATGACCTGCTTCTCTGCTCACCTCAGTACACTCCCCACAGAGATACCTTTGGTCTTGCCATCACCCACACATGTACCCCTTGTGTGTTCTTAAACTCTGAAATTGCTTGATCAAATCATGATCTGTTGTCATTCCGCCTCTCTCTCTGCCTTGCAATCTTAAAACCTATTCTTTGACCTCACCTCACCCTCCAATGCCTTCACCCCCTGATTCTTTCTCAGCACCAGCTATACTCTCCTCCCGTCACTCTCTTGACTCCTTGGTGAACAGTTCACCTCTCTACTCCTCTCTTAAGGCTCTTTGCTCTATCACTGCTTTGCTCCTACTCATGCGCTGTGCTGAGTGAGTCCTCTGCTCATTGATGTGATATCATTTCAACTAGGTTGAATTGAATTGAATTCAAGTGCGTTGAACACTTCCCAGTCTTACTCCTTTTACACTTTCCATCCCACTCACTAGAACCACTTTTCCAAACATTTTCATCCCTCCTCAAACCTACCATGGTTCTCCTCCCCATTCTCTTAGTCGAAGACCTTAATTTATATTTTACACACACGCGTGCACACACACACACACAGACACACACACACACACACACAAAATGGAGACCATTAGAGGTCACTCTTTCCTCCTCTTCTGAGTCTTGCATCATTCAGATGCCTTCCTCTGCTTTCTCCTCCATCACCACTGTTTCAGGAGAAGTGGCCTTCCTTTCTTTTTTTCCTTTGGAGGCAATTGGGGTTAAGTGACTTGCCCAGGATCACACAGCTAGTGTCTGAGGCCAGATTGGAACTCACGTCCTCCTGACTCCAGGGCCGGTGCTCTATCTACTGCATCACCTAGTTGCCCCAGCCTTTCTAGGTTTGCAGAGAAACACCTCTGCTTGCGCCTCGGGGTCCCTTCCATCCCATCTTGTCCAACAGATCACCCTCTCTATATCATCTGCACGCTCACTAATCTTCAGTCTCTCCCTGACTACTGACCGCTTCCCTCCTGCCTCCCAATACCCCCATATCTTCCTGATGTTTCAATGCCACCTCCCCCCACTTGATTTGACCATGCCCACCAGCTGTCCTCCTTTACCTCACCTCCTTTTTGTGACTAACCTCTTTGAGAAGGCCACCTGTATTCAGTACCTCTTTCCCCTTCCCTATCACTCTCTTCTTATCTTTCTACAGTCTGATTTTTGACCTCATCATTCAACCAAAACAAAAGTATCAAAATTACTCACTATCTCTTCATCACCAAATCCAATGGCCTTTTCTCAGTCCTCATCCTTCTTGACCTCTCTGCAGCCTTGGACAATATTGGTCACTCTCTTCTGGATGCACTCCTGTCAAGGTTTTTGTGACCTCATCTCCTCTCATACTTAAATGTGCCTTCAGTTAAAGAGCTTAAAACAACTTGTCAAAGCTTAATGTTTCCTTCCTCTGCTCCCCAACCCCACACCATGTTGTTCTCTCTCTCTGTCTTCTTTTTTTTTTTTTTTTGGTGAGGCAATTGGGGTTAAGTGACTTGCCCAGGGTCACACATCTAGTGAGTGTTATGTTATGTTGTTCTCTCTTAAAACTACATATTAACAATTAAATATTAGGACCAAACTTTAGTCTGGTGGCCTTGTTCCCACCTTAATGAGAAACTTCATTAGTCTTTTTTTTCTTTTCTTTTTCTTTTTTAACTATCAATCTGAAACAATGCACTGTCCTGAAATCTTGTTACATCATTCTTACCAAAGGCCTAAGTATTTTCTGTGAGGAAACCAGGTAAAAATTTAAGAAGAAAAAACTAGAAACTAGAAACATAGATTTGGATGCTAATCAGACATAGAACAGGAACATCTTAATCTAATTAAGATTATTCCCTGTTTCTACCCTTGAGTGGATTGAATTGTTTAGAAAAAATGTTTTTCCATCTTAAGTGACTAAACTTGGGTTGATAGTATAGATTCATCAAACAAACAAGAATGACTTGGGTCAAAAAGAGATTTTCAAAGGCCAGACGGATTTCTGTCCCTTTGGATTTTCTTTCTTTCTAAGCAGAGATTCTTAGAATTAGAATAATTTAATTAACAAAATTGTCTTTGACAGGCTTGTTTCCAAAATGCGAAATGCAGAATTTTTCTTCCATGCTTCTTATACATGTTACAGGAAGCTTCTGTAAAATGACAATGACCACGCTCAGTCCCGGAGAGGAGATGAGAAAATGCATCTCTGCCCTTCCTTAACACAGAACCCCGGTGTATGGGCATGATTAAAATGATGTTCTGTCTTGCTGAACTTTTTCTCCTCTTTTAATTTTTTTTTTAAATAAGGGATAGCTCTATGGGAAGGGAAAGGAAGAAAGAAATGTTTGAAAAAGAAGGTGATGTTAAAATAAAAGATGTCTGGGGACAGCTAAGTGGTGCAGTGGCTAGACCTCTAGCCTTGGAGTCAGAAGGACCTGAGTTCAAATGTAGCCTCAGACACTTGACACTTACTGGCTGTGTGAGCCTGGGCAAATCACTTAACCCTGATTGCCTCATCAAAAATAAAACAAAAAATGTTGATACACATTTTTTTGAGAAAGCTTGTCCACCCCTTTTCCACTAATCCATAGTTTATGGGCATAGCCATCATTTTTGATGGTTATTTGAATGTCTTTCTTTGCCCCCTCCTGCAAAGGTCAGTTCTCTTTAGCACGATACGAAAACCTTGGACCGATATTATTGAGTATAATTATAAGATGAAGCATACCCTGAAGGACCTGGTGCCACTGAAGGCCTTTCTGTTGCTGGGAACCAACATCACCATAGTGGAGGAAAAGGTAATGATCACCTCATAAGGAGTGAGTGGTTTCCAGAGGGAGCCCACCTTCACCGTCCCCAATCCTGAGCCGTACCTGAGGGTTGTTCTGGGGTAGGGTGAGGAGGCCTGGGATGGTCCTCATGTCTTCTTACAAAGCTGTTTTCCTTAGTGATGCTCCTAGAGAATGGATAACTCCTTATTCACCAGGACGGGATGTACTTAAGGCAGGGATAGGGAACCTTAATTAAAGGATTTGTTCTGTGAAGTTTGCATTCAGTCAAAGGCCACACTTGAGGATCTCGAACTGACTTAATGGATTCCTTCCTGCTTACTGCAACATAATGACCTACTAAGGGGCTTCCTGAAGGTGGCTTTTGCCTTTTGAACACAGTGCCTGGCACATAGTAGGTACTTTATAAATGTTTCTTGACAGACTGACTGAACCTTTGGTCTCCCTGAGTGCCCTAGGAAACCCCTGTAAGGCTGATATCCATATTCCCCAGACCACTCAGTCGAGTGAATGATGGAGGAGGTCTAGGTAGGGAATATTCATCCGAGATCCCTCTGGTTTCCCTAGATAGTTTCTTGGCAAATTCTTCCTACTCCAGTGGAAAGTCCCCCAACCACCAAGAAAGGAAAAGGTGAGAAAGACAAGAAGGAAAAAGAAGACAAGGAAAAAGAGAAAGACAAGAAGGAGAAAGGGAAGGACAAGAAGGAAAAAGAGAAGGACAAGGAAAAAGAGAAAGAGAAGGACAAGAACAAGAAAAAGGGGATAGAGAAAGAAAAGGAAAAGGAAAAAGAAAAAGAAAAGGAAAAAGAAAAGGAAAAAAAGAAGGTAGGTAGTGATAATGGGCCATGATCTCCTGGCATTCGATGATGGGATAGGGTCAGAGTGTGTCCCCCCATTTCTCTCTTACATTTAATGAATATTAGCTCTTCATTTCCAATAAATTTTTTCTCATCAATTCTCTTATAAATATTTTAAACTCAAATAGATATATTTTTATCAAAGGCCTTTTAAGAATTTCACATAAACCCAAAGGATTTTATTTTTATTGAAATTAAAGGAATTCTTTTCCTAATATTAAATCATCTTTGCTAGACAAGGATGTGTCCCCACACAATCTTCTCCTCCAAACTCTTTCTAGACTCTGCTCAACCTAATCCTTCTATTCTTTCTCCATAGGAGAAGTTGAAAAAAAGGAGGGATATACCTAAGGAATTTCATCAGGATCCCCCCATTCTGCGAGTCTTGGGGAGTCAGCTGCTCAGCCTGGAGCCCTTGCTGTCTGGGGAGACCCTGGTGTCCTCTCTGTGCAATTTTGGGACAGTCCGTACAGCTGAAACTGACAAAATGACCTATCTAAGGGTATGGCCACTGACGCTCTGAGATCCCCTGCTCTGTCACCATCAGCCTGCGGCCAGCTCCCCAATTCATCTCGCTTTCCCCGACATGTTCCTTAGTTGACGATCGACCTTAAAGAGGAGGGTCAAACCCAGCAGGGAATAAAAACTCGACCTCTATCCATCACCATGAAAATACAAGACAGTGTTCTGTCCTAGCTTATTCTTCCCCTGGTCTGATTTGGCTTTTGTATTTTAACCAAAAAAGCCCACTTACATAGAGGAAAGAATCTGTCGGGGGAGAGAATTGGACAAGCAAAATGAATGTTCCCTCCCAGGCTCCTACAACACACATTGATTGTCACCATGATCCAAAGTCCTTCATTGACCTTAGATGCCAAGTCTCCAAGAGGCATCTCAAGAGATGCAGAGGAGGAAGAAAGATTGACATTGGGAATTAGGAGAAAGCCAAGGCCTAGCTACCCTAGAATTATAACCATGGAATGTCAGAAGTGTTAGTGATGGAACATAGGATGTTAGACCTTGAAAGATCTAATTCAGGGAGCAGCTAGTTGGTGCAGTGGATAGAGCACTAGCTCTGGAGTCTAGGAGGACCTGAGTTCAAATCCAGCCTCACACACTTACTAGCTGTGTGACCCTGGGCAAGTCACTTAACCCCATTGCCTCAAAAAAAATCTAATCCAACCCCTCATTTTGTGGAAAGGAAATTCAACTATGGTTAAATCAACAAACCTTTACTAAATATATGCTATACTGAGGCCCAGAGAAGGAAGTGAAGGGATGAATGCCACACCTAGTAAATGGGAGAGCCAAGGCTAGACCTCAGGGTTTCTGCCTTAACCATTCCAAAAAAGATCCTTTTTTGCCCTTTTTCAGGACCAAAGGACAAAGAACAAGAAGGGTGCAAAACAAAAGGTGAAGGACAAAGGTAATTGGTTTGGGATGAGAGCAAAGAAACAGATATCGCTGGAGCACTGGCTATGTGCCAGGCCCTACTGGTAAAGAAATCTAAGACACGGTGCATGCCCACAAGAAGCTTACTTTGTGATTGAGAGTAGGGGAGAAACCCTCAGGAAATAATGAAGGCTTCTAAATTTCTCTCAGATACTCCATTGGAGCTATAAAGTCATCAATGTGAATATCCCCTCTAAAAATTAAGATTGCAACCTGTTCGTGCCTGCCTGAATGTGTGCACCTAACTCATTCCCATATCATTCCCAAAGTTGGCGCCTTCCTCACTTTGTCTTGCATTAGGAGGATACCAATGGTTCTCACAAGTGGTCGTGCAGTTACCCCTCACTCTCACCATATGACCAGTCTATCTTTTTCCAACATAGACTTCTCTGATGACATCCTTTGCATTGCTTCTCCTTCATCATTCTTTGTAATCTGTTGCCTGCTCAAGCCCAGGAAACTCCCTCTGGCCATGCAGATCAGCCCCTGATCTGCAGTGCCAGTCTTAGAGAGTTGTCTGGTCTGCTTAAAGGTTCAGTGAATTGTCTGTGGTCATGCAACTAGCATGTGTCAAAGCTGGACCTTGAACTCAGGGCTTCACAATTCCAAGGCCAGTCCTCTATCCACTTTACAGAGGGCATCTGTTTTAAATGGATAGAAAACTAAGCAGACCTGGGTTCAAATCTCATCTCTAATGCTTACCATTTTGTGACCTTGGGCAACTTGATTAATGTCTCCTGTCTTGAATTTCTTTATCTATAAAATGAGAGTATTGGACTAGATCAGAACTCATGGTCCCAGAGTCCTGAGTGCAGGCCAGAACCAGATAAAAATGTAATTGGGAAATGTTCGACAAAATTAATGAAAATACATTACAACATAGAGGATGTTGATCTGTGGTTTTCTAAGTCAGTATGTGGCCTGAGGGGATCTGTTTCTATTTGAATTTGACACCATTGGACTAGATGAGGTTAGAGAGGAGGAAAGTATGAGACTGGAAAGTAGAATGAGGTCAGGTTATAAAGGGTTTTAAATGCCAAACAGAGGACTTTTACTTGAGGGAAGATAAATACTAGTATGTCATGAAGGTACAAATGACATTTGACAATGAGTTGGGTGTGTTAGGTCAGTGAGAATGAGGAGTTGAGGATGACCCCATATTCTGAATTTACATGATTGGGAGGGTAGTAGGGCCATCATTGGGAACATAAAGGTTTGGAATAGGGATGGATTTTTGGGGGAAACATAATGAATTCTTTCTTTCTTTATTAGTTTTCAACATTCACTTTTATAAGATTTTAAGTTCCCAATTTTTTTCTCTCTCCCTCCCAGCCTTCCCACTCCCCAAGATGGTAAGCAATATGATATAGGCTGTACGCATATAATCATATTAAACATATCTCAAACATAGTGAATTCTGAGATTGAGATTTCTATGGAACATCTAGGTTTGAAGTGTCTAATAGAAAGTTGGTAAAGTGGGACTGGCATTCAGGAGAAAGACGAGGGCTAGATATATAAATCTTGGAGTCACCTAAATAAATGGTGAATTAAATTGCATTCCAGAGACCATGACATAACAAGGAACCGTTAAAGGTAATGAGGATGTTTATCCTAGAGAAGAGAAGGTTTAAGGGAAACAAGATATTTGTTTTTGAGTACCTGAAGGGAGGCCATGTGAAGGATGAGTGGACTAGTTCTTTGCCCCAGACGGTAGAACTTGGCACAATGGATAGAAGTTTCAGAGGTACCTGGAACATCTTGAACCGGTTGTCCTGTAGATGTCTTAAACTCGACATATCTACAGTGGAACTTATCTTGTCCCCCCCAAACTCTCTCCTCTTCCTGACTTCTCATTATCCTCCCAGTCACCCAGACTCACAACCCATGTGTCATCCTCACTCTTTCTCATCCCCGTGTCCAATCTGTTGCCAAGGCCAGCCAATTCTGCCTTCACAGCATCCGTTTTATCTGCCCTCTCTGACACAGGTGTTCATCACCTGCTGGTCTCCCTTCCACAAATCTCTCCCCACCAGAGTCCACGCTCCACCCCAATGTTAAATTACCCTTCCTAAAGTACAGGTCTGATAAAGTCACCCCCTCTCCCTATCCGGTAAACTCCAGTATACCCCAGCCCCTTCCTGCCTTTCCAGTTCTGCTCATACCTTAGTCCCCACCACGTCCTCTACAGTCCAGGGATTCTGGTCTCTTTGCCGTTCCTCCCACATGGTGCTCCATCTCCAGACTGAATTCTCACAGTCTGTGCCCCATCTCTGCCTCTTGGCTTCCCTGGTTTCCTCATGGCCCATCTAAAATGCCACCTTCTGCAAGAATCTTTTCCCAGTCCCCCTATCAGCCAGTGCTTTCCCTCCGATATCATTCACCTTGTACGCATCTTGTATGTATATAGTTGTTTACATGTTGTCTTCCTTCATTAGACTGTGAGCACCTTGAGAGCAGGGGCTGTCTTTTACCTCCCTCTGTATCCCTAGCACTTAGCACAGTGCCTGGTGCATGGTAGATGCTTGATAAATGAGTATTGATTGATTGACTGACTGATATTTGGAGGAGGACCAAAGCAAACCTCAGAAAGGTAGGGATGAACCCTGCACTTAATCCACCTTGCATTAGCAACTAACCATCTTTGAATTATTCTAAATCCTCCTTAGCTTGGTTATGTCCTCTGGCTGTATAACCACTGGGGTTAACAGTTTTCCCTAATTTACTCCCCACTGGGTAAAAACCAAGTGAACTTTTTGGACCAAGAGTATATGGTGACCGTTTCCCTAGATGTATTTAGAGAGTGAGTTCTGCAGCCGGTGGGAGGGAATGATTAATAACTAACGTGCTTATCTTTTGTTCTCAGATAAAAAGAAAGAGAATCTGTTGTTTGAAGAACCCGATTACCAGCCGGATCCCCTGACAGTGGACGTTCAGATCCAGCTTTGTCACTACACGTCCCTCGCAGAAGCGCTGACCAGGACCTCCTTCTGATCCTCTTCCCCATTCTTTATGCCTCTTGGACGTAGGTGATAAAAGTATTTGGTTATAAAGGGTTGTTTTGGTTGTAGCGATTATTTCAAATGAATGCTTTTTTTTTTTGGAGGCAATGGGGGTTAAGTGACTTGCTCAGGGTCATACAGCTAGTGTCTGAGGCCGCATGTGAACTCAAGTCGTCCTAACTCCAGGGCCACTGCTCTATCCACTGCACCACCTACCTGCCCCTCAAATATATTCTTTCAAAGAATTGCTGCTCACTGCCAACCAGGACAATCTCCTATAAGCCAGGCATGAGTCATGTGAGCCTGGTGAGGGCAGGCCAGTGCACCCAATCTATTGGGCACACCTTATCCTGAGAAGGGAGAAGGGAGGCTAGTTGCCACTAAACCACTCCTGGCTAAGGAAGGCTCCTAGACTGCTGATTTCCCCTCTATTAAGTGGATTGAAGAACTAATTTATTACTCTGCATTTTGTAGTTTGACCCAAAGCATTTTTTATTACTTCGGCTATAAGGGAAGATGCATTTCAAACACAAACACAGCGTCTTAGGGACATCAAGAAATTTCCTGGCCAAATTGTGCAGGGCTAAACCTTCTTATATTCTTTAGAGAAACAAAAAAAATCACACAAAGGCAGCAGACGAGATAAACAAAGGAATCCAAAATTGGCACATCAATGATGGTCCATAAGGCTGGATTAGCAGAGCATAGTGATGGAGCTATGATTGGAAGAGTCTGGGAACAAGTAACATCTTTTTTCTTTTTGGTTAGGCAATGGGGTTAAGTGACTTGCCCAGGGTCACACAGCTAGTAAGTGTTATGTGTCTGAGGCCGGATTTGAACTCAGGTCCTTCTGAATTCAGGGCCAGTGCTCTATCCACTGTACCACCTAGCTGCCCCCGAACAAGTAACATCTTAACAGGTAACATTGATTATTCCAAGTTGAGCAGGTGCTTTTTCCATGTTTCTGCCTAGAAACAGCGAAGTTTCCCATAGGAAAGCTCTTTCCTATAGTCCTCCAGGATATCAGTAGCCCTTTGCTGTAATGCCAAGCTTCTCAAAGTTCATATACAGGCCTGAAATCCTGAGTCCCCATTCATAGTGTTTTGTGTTTCTAGAGGGAAAAAAATCATCTAATAGCCTCGGGTTGATAGAGAGGCCAAGTATCACAGACCTCACTTCTTTGGGAAGGGTTAGAGTGATTTTTGCTTGGCAGAAGGCATAGGAGAGGCACCAGTGACAAAACACAATCTTGAAAACTAGGACAATGACAACAGGTCATAGGCACAGAGAGGCCTATCTTGACCCACCCTCCAGACTTAGCCAGTTACCCATCACTGAAACCATCCCCTATGCTATTTCTTATAGCACAATAGTATTCCATCACAATCATATACCACAACTTGTTCAATCATCCCCCAATTAATGGGCACCCTCTCAATTTCCAATTCTTTGACACCACAAAAAGAGGTGTTATAAATATTTTTGTACATGTGAGTCCTTTTCCTTTTTCTTTGATCTCTTTGGGAGATCTAGTAGTGTTATTGCTGGGTCAAAGGGTATGCACGGTTTTATAGCCCTTTGGGCATAGTTCCAAATTGTTCTCTAGATTGGCTGAACCAGTTCACAACTCCACTAACAATGCATTAGGGTTCCAATTTTTCCACATCCCCTCCAGCATTTGTCATTTACTTTTCCTGTCATGTTAGCCAATCGGATAGGTGTGAGGTGGTATCTCAAGAGTTGTTTTGATATGTATTTCCCTAATCAGTAGTGATTTAAAGCATTTTTTCATGTCATTCTGGAAAGCTTTGATTTCTTCTAAAAACCACTTATTGATATCTCTTGGCCATGTCTCAATTGGGGAATGGCTCATATTTTTTATAAATTTGACTTACTTCCCTACATATTTGAGAGATGAGACCTTTATCAGAGGAATTTGCTGGAGAATTTCCCCCTCACTTTCCTGTTTTCCTTCTAATTTTGTCTATATTAGTTTGTCTTGTGCAAAACCTTTTTTAATTTCATATCCTCAAAATTATCCGTTTCACCTCCTGTGATCCTCTCTGTCTCTTGTTTGGCCATAAACTCTTCCCTCCACTCAACTTTCAAAGTGATTTTTCTAAAGTTCAGATTTGATCACGTCACACCCCCCCCACCCCCGGCCCCATTCAGTAAACTAATCTACCATCTTGTTGGTTACATGACCCGCAAATCTCACTGATGGACTTTTTTTTTCAGTTGCATGTGATTTTATTACTTTGGCAAATAAGTCAAAATTTATGCATTCAGAACAAAGGCTATTCATACTTCCAACTGGGTGGGAGAATGTTCTTGGTCCTGTAACCCTGGACCAGCCCATCAATTTGGTTTTCATTAGAAATCAAACAGGATTTAGAATCCTATTTATTTCTGTTTCTCTGAACAGGCTTATGAGCAACAACAATTTTCTCAATCAAGTAATAAAGATCTTCATAATAATTGGAAGATTATTGGCAAGACCCTGGTAGTTCCAGATTCTCAATTTTTCATTGTCAGTTACAAAGCTCATTCATTCTCCACCTTGGGAAATCTCTCATGATCCACCAACGCATGAGGGAGTGAGGCCCCTCTTGGCCAGCCTATAGATCTGCTCCTTTCTATGAATTTCAGCCGTGGGAGGGTGGTTGGACAGAGTGGCCTGAGCATTCACATGACCCATGATGGCAGTGGTTTGTCAACAGAAGGGAGGAAGTTGTACACCCTACTGATGAACTTTCCATGGCCCCAGTCACAACGTTGCATGGGATAGCAGGATTCTTCTGGTTCTTTGGCAAGATAAGTTGCATCTGTTTATGGAAGGATTTGACATATTTCTGACAAAATGTTTTACCTGTTGGGTGAATGCCAGTAAGGAGTTAAGGATGAAACCAAAGTTTTAAGCTAGGGTGACTGGGAGGATGGTAGTTTCCTTGACATCTCATTAAGAAGAAGGGAGAGTTTTGGGAAAGATAATGATTTCTGGTTTGGACATGCTGAGGTGAAGATGTTTATAAGACATCAGGTTCAAGATTTCCAACAGGTGGGACAGCTAGGTGGTGCAGTGAATAGAGCTCTGGCCTTGGAGTCAGAAGGACCTGAGTTCAAATCTGGCCTCAGACACTTGACACTTACTAGCTGTGTGACCCTGGGCAAGTCACTTAACCCCAATTGCCTCACCAAAAAGAAAAAAACATAAAAACAAAAACAACAACAACAAAAAAGATTTCCAACAGGCCATTGAGGATGCAGCCTGGAGCTCAGAAAAGAAACTAATACTGGAGATCTAGGAACCATCTGCATAGACATAATCATTTAATCCATGAGAGCTGATGAGACCACCAAGTAAGATAGTATAGAAAGTATAGAGATTCTGTCCTTCCTTCCTTGTTTGTGTTTGCTTTGGTATTACTAACCCCCTCTTTCCTCCAATTCTCACTCCTAACAAATAAAAATTCCCTCCATTTTAACAAGTAAACAATCAATCATACAAAACAAATACACATGTTGGCCATGCCTGAAAATGGAAGTCTCATGCTCTACCTCTCTGGTCCATCATCTTCCTTTCAAGAGGTTGGAAGCATACTGTATTCTTCATCTTCTGGACTGGTCTTGGGCTTATCAGAATTCTTAAGTCTTTCAAAATTATTTTTCTTTACAATATTGTAGCCATTTCCAGGCCATGTAAGCAACAAAAAAGTGGACTAGACATTTTCTCCAATCCCCCAACCTCTCAGAACTCCCCAAAACAGAAATTACAGACCAAAGATAAAGCAACGTTAGCTGTTAGCACACCAAGAATCTGAAACAAGGTTAAAAAAACCTCCCGATAACCTCCAACCTCAAGAACTCACTGACCCTGAGCTCACTCAGCACCCCTCCCTCACCTGCCATGCTACTGGCAGCAAGGCCACACTAGAAGACCCAAGGACACAACAAAGACATGTCAAAACCCACCTTTCCCTTTTGGTGCCATAAACACCCCATCTCTAGGCTGTGGAAGTTTTTTTTTGGCTTTGATGGTTGGCTAGGTCACAGCTCTTCAGGAGCAAAAGCCTACCAGGGGCCGCAACCTGGAAGCACCAATGCTGCAAAACTCTGAATGGCTGTTCTGAACTGTCAGTGCTGGGCCAAGGAATTAAGGAATAGAAGTAGGATAGGTCAACCAGACAGGACACTATGCATGTGGGGAGCTGTGTAACACTCCACCAAGCCTGAGGGAAGAACACAGGATCCAGCTGGGGCCAGTTCTGACCACCCAAAAGTCAGCTGAGGCAGAGACCTAGGCTGGTGAACTATGAATTGCTGCTTAGTGTGGGAAGAGGAGACTACGCCATTTTGAGATCCATCCCCAAAAGAAACTACAATCAGAAGGGAGGAGGAAGTCAGGATGTGAGAAAATAAGGAAAATAAAGGGGAAGGGGAGGGGGAGACTGAACGTATCAAAAATTCCAAGAAGAAGTAATCTCAAAAGCCTTGAATATAAATAGATAAATCAACAGGAAAAACAGTAATAACAGAAGGAAATGATCTCTAGAACTAGTAAATGAGTTCGTGTGAATAAATACTACAGAATGAAAGAAAATAATTCAACATTTGATGAGACAGACGACCTTGTGGAAGTTGAAGAGAACATGAAACCACAACACTCCATTATTGACTGGTTTATTTTTTTCTTGATAATTAATTTTTAGTTTTCAAAATTCACTTCCATAATATTTTGAGTTTTAATTTTCTCCCCCTCCCCCTCCTCTCCCCCCTCCCAAGATGGTGTGCAATCTGATGTAGGCTCTACTTATATATTCATATTAAGCATATTTTCCCATTAGTCATGATGTAAAGAACAATTAGAACTAATGGGAGGAATCATGAGAATGAAGTAATAAAATGAAACAACAAAGGAAAAGGAGAGCAAATAGTATGCTTCCATCTACATTCAGATTCCATAGTTCTTTCTCTGGATGTGGATAGCAATTTCTAT